TACATAAAGGGTACTGTAGATCACGGGATTCGCTATGAAAAAACCCCTAACTTCTGAATTGGTTGCTTTCGGAGATAGTGATTTCGGTGGAAGTGTAGATGACAGCCGGAGCACATCATGTTATATCTTTCATATGGGATCTGGAGCCATTTCATGGCAATCGAGAAAACAGAAGGTTATAGCTTTATCATCGGCTGAGGCTGAATATATGTGTGCTACTTTAGTAGGATGTCAAGCCTTGTGGTTGCGTGGGATTTTAGATGAACTTAAACATCCTCAGAAAAAAACCCACAACAATTTACTGTGACAACAAATCTGCAATTGCTTTAAGCAAAAATCTGGTGTATCATGGAAAGAGTAAGCACATTCGAATTAAATATCATTTCATACGTGAGCTAGTTGGTTATGATGAAGTTGAAGTAAGATTCTGCAGATCTGGAGATCAAATCGCAGACATATTTACGAAGGCTCTTAACAGTAGTGACTTCAACAAATTGAAAGCAAGACTTGGAGTTTTACAAGTCTAGTTTACGGGGGTGTATTGAATTAGTAGTCTAGACTTATAATTATTATAATTAGGTATTAATAAATCATAGGGGTGTGACGGTTAATTAAGAGTCGTGATGTTTGGGTCATAGTCGGTTTCTATTAACCGACTCTCTGTTATGTATGTATATATATTGTGTCAACTGGAAGTTTGTAGATCTGTTGGATCATTTATGAAATTATTAAAGAAAATTATTTGATCGTATACCTGGGTTTGTTTCTGTTTTGATATCAATTCATCAAAAACCACCAAATGTTAACTTTAAGTATAAAGCATATAAATTACGAAGGTTATGTCACAAAAGATAACAACAAAAGTTAGGAGTCAGCTTCCATTCTTCCGATCAACAAAGCACATCTTCAACAAACCTAACCGGACTCCTTAGCCTATCTGGTTCCACATACTGTAAGATTCTGCAGTAAGCTCACAGTTACCATAATCAATTTATCTTTCATCAAAACATGACCAAACTCACAAACTACGCTCTAGAGTCAATAAAGTAAAAATATGAATAAAATGAATCAATTTGTGATTGAGAATAATAAAGTAATATAAAATAAGTCCTTAACAATATACTAAAATGGGTATGATTCTAAACTTATAACTAGGATTTTTCGGACTAGGCATAGGGCCGAGTTTGCCCAAAATTTTGGTATGATTGAGCTTTGAGGCTTAGGCCGAACATGGTTTCGGTCCCACTAGGCCCGGGCTTTTTCAGGCCAGACCGAGGCTGGGATTTCAGGCTTTGGCAGATTGCAATAGATCTTATTCATTGTTGATGGGTATTACCAATAGACTGGTCTACATGTTAAGTCCTAATATTTTGTAAAGTGTGATTGTTAATCAAAGGAATTGACATTTTTGTAAATATTATGAAAATATAAAACTAGTTATGAATCAAAGGGTAGGTTGAAAGGGGATTCATAAGATTAAACCTACAATTTTTTTTTTTTTGGAATGTTGTTATATCTACAAACCCCCTCTATCTCATTGATGTTATAGAATTTAAATAAAAATAAAAATAGCCTTTTTCTAATAAAATAAATACTTTAGTTATAATAAAAATTATATATAGATGAACATGCTATTCTCTTTAATTTAACATCGGTATTATAACATATACTTTTTAAGAAAAAAAAAATAATCGTTGCAATTTTCACAGTATACATTACAAGTGATTTAATTTGTACGTTGTTTTATAGTGTGAAATAACATGACATTGTTTCACATTATAAGCGATATTATTTTGTTTCATATTGTGAAAAACGCTTAAGTGTTTTATTCCAGCTACACAGTGTTTTTTTAATATTGTGAAAAATACTATATTTTTTAACATTCGCAACGCTATATTGTTTTATAGTGTGAAATACATTTAAGTGTTTCATATCAATGTTACTGTGTTGTTTCCCAATATAGAACAACATTTGAGAAGTAAACCATGTCTTGTTTCATAGTGTGAAGCATTACTACATACAAAATCACAACATATATGAACATATCTAATATAACATAAAATTGTCACCAAGTTCGCACATGAGGCTTAACATCAATCAATTGAGAGGAACCCAGATAAAAAGAAGCTCTTAACTAAACAACTAAAGAAGCTTGAACAAACCAAAGTACACAGAAGCTCTTAGTTAAAAACAAAGTGGGGATGATAAAGCAGAAGACGACCAATGAAAACGAAAGTAGTTCAAAGAGAACTTTAGCATGGATGAACAAGCAGATAACGCTCAAGGACCAGAAATTATGTGCTGGCTATCATCTCCACTTTGTTTATAACTATAGGTGGTGGTTATGAAATTCCCCCATTGTCGCACCTGTAGATGCCAAAAATGATCCGGTGGCTATAAAATTTCCATTCTTTTGCCACTTGTAGATGTCGTACGGTGCCTCAGCTATGGTGAGATGAAAACCATTGATGAGTGCTGAAGAAGAAATATAAATGATTGAGAAGAATAAAATCATGGATTGTTATTTACTATAATAATATAATATATATTAAGAGAATTTAGAGATTAACATTAATTAATGAAAGATAATTGATTTTTTAAGCACAATGTCCTTCTTGGATTAAAGATGGAAGAATAACTAAATCCATTCGATGAAAGTGATTGGATGGGTTAGGTTGGTTTTTACGGTTTCAACTTTTAGTTCCTGTATTGTTCGTTGTAAGGAAATACAACCTTGAAATCATGTTGCTCAAAGTCCAATAGAAAAGTGCGACGATGAGCAAGCAACAAAACGATCTATGTATAATTCAGACCTAAAAAAAATATTATTGTAATCGTTCCCCGTAGCTAGTCTTCCTTTGCTTACATGACCATTTTACCAAATTCCAACTAATATTATTGTTTTTAGGATAATTAAAATGAATTTATTTGTAACAAATTTTAATCTCATAATTTACCGACTCAAAAGAGTGAAAGACGTGGTTAATTTTAATTAAAATATGACCATGCATTTATTAAATATCAAAAGCCATCCAACTTCCCACTTTAATTTGGAATCAATTATTCAATATGATTTATTAGCAAATAATTATTGCATACTAGCAACCGGTTCTGTACTTAACCCACTATAAATACCCACCAAAGCAAGTTAATAATATTGTGTGCATGTGGTGCATTTCCCAACCAACACCTATTGCAATTGTAATTATGTATAGGCCATTCATCCCACATAAATGTCTAATTAATACGAGGCACCATCAGTTTGCTTAATGACATGATTGATGTTATTGTAAACCATAAGTCTTAATCAATTAGCATAATGGCATCCTTAACTTATTCTCTTTGTTGTTTATTGTGGACAAGGTTTTAACTTTTTCTCTCATTTTTGTAGATAATATAATATAAATTGTTCTAAACATATATCGTATTTTTGAATTAAAAGAATAAACTTAATTAATAATATTTTTCTTTTTATATAATCATACACCCATAAGAACAAATATCAAAGTGCTAGTCATGGCTAATTCTACATATACGAATATATTATACATGCATGATCCATACGTAGGTACATGTACATGTACATGTACATGTACATGTACATTAATTACAACTTCCATTGGTCAAAAGCATCCAAAAATGACTACTTAATTATATGAATAAACCCCTTTTATCGACATAAAGCTTTCAGACTTTAGAGGCATTGTTTTGCTTAATTAGGCTTGAAGAAGTGTAGGAACCCAACCACAAGGGTGGTGCCTGATTGGTTTGTGCTTGACTCAAAATGTCAAAAGTGTCAGGAGGTCCTAGGTTCAAATCCAAGAAGGAACAAAAATCCCCTTGTGGCCACGGAAGTTCAAATGCGGTGACTCCGGGCTACCTGCAAAGCAGGTGGTTGTCCTGGTATTAGTCGGTTCGCAAAGCGGATTGGATATCCAGGTTAATCAAAAAAAAAAATCTAGGACCCCGGTCATGTCAAAAATGATTATTAACCAAAATTAAATGTAACAATGTCATATTGTTATTCTATATATTTAAAATATAGTTATACTTCTATCTCAATCATGAAGAATAATTCATATTTGATACAATGTCGAAGCAATTATATATTTTTGTATTTCGGAACTTGAGGAAAGTATTTATCAAGTCTGTTTATGAAGAACCAAAGTTATTCTTTTAGACAAGATTAACTAGCTAATCTTAAGTGTACAAAAATACAAAATTACAAGTAATGGTGAGCAATTTTCATCATATCATAATCTATTAGAATTTAATCGAAGTAATACATCCGAGAAATTTGAAGAGAAGAATATAACTATTATGTCTTATAATCTTCACATATGTATGTGTATTTCTTCCTAATCTAATGATTTTGGACGTGTCTCTACTAAAAAAATGCACTACGAAAATATACCACAAGAAACAAATGGGGTTTTGCAACGACTTTTATCGTCGTTAAAGTGCATTTATCGTCACAAACGCTTTATAGAGACGACATGTGGTCGCTATAGTTTGTGGATGAAACCTTTTGTCGCTAAAGCTCACTTTTCTTAGATTTGTTAGGACCACTCTTAAAAAAGAACACAATTGTGAACGTGATGAATTAATTGGACCCCTAATCCTATCTAAACTGCAATCTTAATTCTGCCAACATTCACGTGAAATTAATTAAAGTAGGACTTAATTTCCTGACATCTCTAACTCTCTACAAATAAAATAAATACAACACATACCTGTTCCTTGTCTGCTTACTGTTTGTTGCAAAGATTACAAGCTGTTTATAATTAAACTAAAAGAGAATTTTAGAATCCTCCAACTCATCTCTTCAATTCCTAAGGAGTGGCCACAGGTTTACTCTTTGTCTCAATTATAAGCTTTAAAACATTGGAACGTGACTCACCCCTTTTGTTTTCTAGCATTTGGAAGGAGGATCTATGTCTATCTTTGTGCTTATTTTTTTATTTTCTTCTTCACCCAGCTCTAAAGAAAGAAAAAACTTTTTCTTTTTCTCTTTTTTTCGTAATTTTCACAATTTTTAGTTAGATGAGAAGAAAGTATTGATGGCTTCTGCAGCTCGTATTACAGAAAAACCAATTGCTCATCAAAATCAGCAGCAGCAGCAGCGGCAACAACCGATCTTGAAATGTCCGAGATGCGATTCTTCCAACACCAAGTTTTGCTACTACAACAACTACAGTTTATCACAGCCAAGGCACTTTTGCAAGGCCTGCAAGAGGTATTGGACAAGGGGTGGCACCTTGAGAAATGTTCCGGTGGGTGGTGGCTGTAGGAAGAATAAGAGAACCAAGAGAATATTGACCACCACTATTACTACTAGTCATGCTGCCACCACCTCAGTAACAGTTGGTCATCATCCTAACCCTACTTCTAACCCTAATCTTGATCATATCGCTTCTTCCACACACCCAGATAACAACTTCAACCCCTTGTTTGGGTTATCAGAACAGAACTCCAAATACCCAACATTCGATACTAGGGTTTCCCATATAACTGATACTGATGTTACCAAGTATAATCGTCTTCACCCTCATATGAGTGCTTTCGGGTTAGGGTTTTCATCACCTGATCCTGGGGCAACTGTAGTGGCTAATCATGCTCACGATTCAATATCACTTGTTTCAAGCTACTCCTCCATGATCGGTGGTGGTGCCACTTCTACCTGCACTACTAATCCTATGATGGCTTCATTTTTAGCTTCCAGCCTTCAGCACCAACCAAGATTTCTAGGGTTTGCACCCTACGGAGATGGGGGTGGTTCAGCAGTGAATGATGCTCAAATGGCAGGAACCAAAAGCAGGATGGACTGGAATAATCATTTTGATGGTCAAAATCATAATGATCAAATCAAAGCCGTAGAATCATCTGATCCAACTTTTTTGTGGAACACAAGTACTGGTGGTGATGGTGGAGAGTGGTTTGATCCTACAAGCAATATATGTTCCTCGGTTCCTTCCTTGATCTAGCCAAAAAAACCAATTTTTATTGTGTTTCCTTCCACTGGTTTTTTCTACTTAATTGGCCTTCCTTCTTTTATTTGCTTCTCCGGAATAACTTGGTCAGTTTACTTTGTGGAAAAAAGCACTGATGGGAGGAGATTGGATCGGAGCAGTCATGTCATCTGGCAAAAGAGATTTCAGCCTTCCAATTTTTTTAGTGATCAAGGTTGGAAAAGCATTACTGATTTTGCGCTTAGAGGAACCTCGGATCCTCTCATCTTTTCGGCCCAAGTGTTCTCATCAACCAACTCAATCTACCATTGAGAAACTGGGTGCAACATCCATGATCTGGTGAGTTTGTTCTTTCATTTTCTTTTGTATAAAAGTAATTCTGCTCTATATCCTTAATTATAAATTGTGTTTGGGGTGCACGGTAGGGTTTACAGAAAGCATAAGTTTCAGACATCATTTCAAGGCTTTTCGGTTTGGGTATATTGGTATAGAAAAGAGGGATATATGTTCATTTTGTGGGGAGTTTGAATTCAGATATCTTAATTGTTCCTATTGGGTATATGTTGGATGTTATAATTTATAATCATTTTATTGATATATTGAACATATATGATTGTATACTTTTAAAACGACTGACAAACTGATATTTAGATTTGATCTCACGTTGTAAATTTGCACTAGCCCTGCCTCTACATGGGCAGACATTATGATTTAAATTTGAAGTCATAACTTGAGAGTTGCATAGATACATTATAAGTCTGTACATCTTATTACCTGACAGTTCAATTCTTTTTTTGGTAATTATGTCTTTTCTCTTGTCTAATTGCAAGTTTGCATAAAGTTAACCAGGAAAACGTTGGAACCATAGAGTATATTTTACCAGTTTCTTTGTAATATGAAAAGCACTTGAATAACGTATAGTATGTGAGAGTATATGTGGAACCCCATCAGGTTATTGTTCAAAAGAGCGTAAAAGAATGGTAAATAAAAAATGTTTAAGTATACTGATATAAGACTCCAACAACGTACATTTCAGATTTCTTTCAGAAGAGAACTCACACCGGCCCAACGACATTAAGTTAATGGTCGTTATCCACCCATTCCCTCTAATTCATTTGGCTCAACTTAAAAAGTCCCCAGCTAATTCCATCACTTTGCAGTCGGCAATGAGAATGATTTTATTTATCAACAAATCAAAATGGAATGCATAAAAGTGTACACTGGTGATGTACCCTTTTACAGGAAAAGAGCCAAGAACCGGAGATTATGACCTCCAGTAGTTCTTGAAATTCGAGAATGCTGGCTGGAATCGCAGTCTGCAGGTAGTAACTAAACTCAATAACATATTGACTAGAGAGTGTGTTAGGTCTTCTTTAATTTTTATCAGTGGTCTTTAGATCTTTGCCCTAACTATCACAAACAATTTATACGAAATGTTTGCTTTTACCTAAATTAAAAAGTCTAAATCTTTCTTATCAATGACTTAATATTACCTCAAATAAGTTAGGTCTTCTGACCTGTTTTTATAGTAAGAAACTACAACAGAAATTAAATACGGTTTTATAAGTGGTTTTTTGCAATATGCAAGTGTGTTTTTGCTTATGTCTTTTAATGCTAGCTATTATTACCAAAAAAGTAAAACAAAATCAAACGATTTACAAACCTATATAATATCATATGCAATGCAACTATATATCAGTAAACCGTAACCATTTTTTGTTAACTTAGGGAGCACACATCAATTTAAAGGGTATGTGTGTTTGAGACCCGTGAAAGAGTACCCACATCGTCGACATGATAGAGCAGGTGCATGCACACTTTTTCCGATCTTTTTACGGCTATGTTGGGCAAATTAATTGATAAGTTAGCTGATTACTAATAAGTTAGCGGTATTAGCTAGCTGATGGCGGATATGGTAATAGATGAACAAATTATGTTTAGCAAAAACTAACTGATAAGCATATAAAATGATTAAAAATGACATCTTGAAAAATTAATTAATTACAATATTATAATATAATTAAAA